CCCTAACGTTCTGTGATTCTGTGACTTCAGCAGTAAAGGTGTACCATAAAATGACCAGCCTTAAGCTGACAGACTACACAATTTTCAAATATGATTCCCTAGGAATGACCCTACTTACTCTTTAAAGGCTCTGTTGCATTCCTCTGTTCTTGGAAAAAACGCAATTCCTTCAGCTTGGCGTCTCAAAAGTTCGATCTGTTTTCTTTTCATGTGTTCTTGGTGCTTCTTTTTAAGCCATAACTTGAAGGCTTCTTCTGGATTCCTGCTCCTCTCCTGTTTAAAAAAAAACCAAAAAGACATCATCTATACACAAGGCTTATCATTAAATTACCTTTATATTAAGCATGTTATAGTAATTTTTTTTTAACCCTGCTGGCATCTCCGATCCATGAAACACGCTTCATAAGCAAACCAGAGCATATGCTAATTTGGCATGGACTAACAGAATATTGAGTTGGCTAAAAAGTAAGTGCGTTTTTTTCTGGGTACATGAAAGGTGAATTTTTCATGGGAAACAAGAACTGTATTAAACAATATATTGTCCATTTTTTTCAATTACCATTTGCCATCTTTCAGGCAACTTCATTATTCTGCGCTCAAAAAACAGTTCCAAGAATGATTTGATATCCTCATCAGCAGTGAAGGTTTACCCATTCAAGGTGTTTTGTAAAGAACAAAACAAATGGTAGTCTGATGGTGCCAGGTCTGGTGAATATGGTGGATGTGGTAACATATCCCATCCAAGCTGCAACAATTTTTGATGAGTGACCAAATTTGTATGTGGTGCAGTGTTATCATGGAGAAACACAACACCTTTGTGGTTCACCAATCCTGGACGCTTCTGTTTGATGGTACCATTTAATTTATGCAGGTGATGACAGTACACATCTGAATTAATGGTCTGGTTCCTTGGAAGCAATGCAAAATACAGAATACCTTTGAAATCCCACCAGACAGACAGTATAACCTTCCTTTGGTGAATGTCTGCTTTTGAAGTGCTTTGAGCTGGTTCAGCACACTTGCTCCACGATCTTTTTTGTTCATCATTGTTGTAGATATTTCATTTTTCATTGCCTGTTATCATCTGTTTCAAACATGAATCGTTTTCTTCACGTTTCAAAGAGAATCATGTATGTGAATGTGCTTAGTGAGATGAACTTCTCTGAGCTCCTGTGGTACTCAAATATTGAGCTTACTAACGTACCCAAGTTGTTTTAAATGGTTTCCAACACTCAATTCGATATGTTAAGATTATCAGCAATCCCTTGCGCTGTTAAACACCAATTGGATTCAGTCAATGCCTTTATTTTGTCATTATCAACATCGATTTGCCTTCCTGAATATGGTGCATCTTTAACATCAAAATATCCGGACCAAAATACAGTAAACCAATTCTGACACTGCCATAGTTTTAAGGCATCTTCACCATACACATCACATAACTTGTTATGAGCTTGCCACAGCATTTTTTCCTTTCTGGAAGTAATTCAGCAAAATATGACAAAAATGTTCCTTTTGATTTTCCATTTTGAAATCAACGCCAAATAAATAATTGTTAATGAAATCATGCATTTTCTTTTTCTAAAACAAGCTTGAACTGTTAGCTATCAAGTTACACACAAATCTGCAGTTTAAAATGAAGTTAGTTACATTTCAAGACATCTACTAAAAAAACCCCTGCAATTACTTTTTGCCCAACCCAATAGATGAGCAAGCATTCAAAGCAGAATGTTTTTAAAAATACTGAATTTGGCTTTTCAGGGCCATTGCTGCAAGGCAGAGAAACTTCAGAACAGAGCATGTGAATCTTCAGGTTTTGACTAAGGAAGTCACACACATTAACTGCTTGCCAACAAGTTCTGATGGCAAGGAATACACTTCAAAGTGTTTTCTGGCTGCTTGTTCACTGCAGGGTTCAAACAAATCATTCTCAGATAAAATGGAACATTGCTGTATCTCCTGTGATTTCATAGCTATTAAGTTCATTTATGCAGCTTCAATGAGGCAAGGTACCCTGCCAAGCAGAACAATCCTAAACGTGCAAGTCAATCTAGCTCTTCACTGAAAACAACAGAGCAAAGGCATTTCCTAGCAGTCACTAAATTTTCATATCCTTAGCTAGAACACAGGCTCAGAATTTAGTTTTCCTATCTAACCAGGGCACTATAGATCCCACTCTTACATTAGGGTGATCTTACTTTGCTGTTCAAGTCTTCTAGCTCCTTAGCACGATGAATTCGCTTTTCTTCTTGCACTTGTTCTTTCTTCTTCTGTAACCAAGCTTTAAAAACCATCTCATTCTCTCTTTTCTTCTGTTCTTCTTGTTCCCTTTTCCTTTCTTCTTCCTTGAATGGAATGAAGAGTGAATAAACTTAGTTTTTAAGAGAATACTCTTAACCTACAAAGGCCTTCATAGACAATAAATAAGCCATTTCAATTACATGAGAGACACACAAAAATACTGATGAAACAGGAATACTCGGAGACTGCATCATACTTGATACCACACGAGTTTGAGCACTTCTGCAGTTCATGTTACATTCAGATACTTTCAGTCTAACCCTTTCTGTGATTACCTCCATTTTCATGATACATCTCAACTCAGAGACATTTCAATAGCAAGAGGTTAAAACTTTTAAAATTAAGCCTGTCCAATAGCTCTGATTGGCTTAAAATCAGCTTAAACTGATGCATTTTTTAAATGAATGCAACTCTCAGGCTTGATGGACCACTTACCCTAAATGATATTAAACTACCTATGGACTGCAGGCACTACCTTATAAATACGGACATTTTTCTGGACATGAAGCTGTAATCTATTTACTTCAGGAGTAGTAATATCCTAACACCTTTTTCAAGCTTACAAAATGAACTGATCTTTTACAAAATTAAGAAAAGTTTTTGTAATTATTAATTGCATTTTAGCTAATGACAAGTATCTACAAGGAGGAGAAAGACTTCCAAACAACACTTCAGAAAGCCAGTGAGGACTTTTTACCAGTTTTTTGTGTTCTTTGACACAAAAGCTACAATCCTTGCTCATTTCAACACTTGCAGAAATCTATTCTTCTTGTGAATAGATGATGCTCCTCCTACCTACACACAACTTTCTGACTACCGTCCAAAGTTACAGTTTGTAGTTTACTGCAATGAAAGAAACCCCACCAAAATGAAGCAGATGGATTCCAGTAATGTCAAGAAATGTTTCATGCCTGTGAATTCCACCATAGAATGGAAGAAGAATTCATTCAAGAATGAAGAAAGAAGGTAATACATTCTTACCTTTCATAAGTCAGCCAACAAAGGGAGAGATTTAGCACACAGTTAGGAAAATAACCTTCCTTACCTCGACCATGCTACCTTTTACTTCAAATACAGAGTATGGTGTCAACAGAACTAGTCTTGTGTGTACAAACAAAACACATCAGTAACTCTTGACACTTCCTACCCCTCATTACTGAGCTAATTCTCAGCAGACTCTTCAAATACAGCAGGCTAGACCTATTTCCATGGATAGAAAGCAACTTTGAAGCCACTTGGCCAGCTTACTTAGAACATCATGCCACAGAAAAATGGTAGATGCTTTCATGCTCTTCTTACAGAGCAACAGACATAGTAAGCTACAGTTTTGCAATTGTATCATCATAATGCAAAGTGAAGCAAAATGTCTAAATTTTTAAAATCTTTGGTAAAGATTTCTGAAGTTCCTGTTACAGCTTTCAGAGGCCTATTCTCCATTAAATACTTTTTTTTCTGAATAAAGAGCTGAGGAAGAATTAAAAGGGTTTTTTCCCCAGTAATACATAAGATACTGATTTTATTTTCTAAACTAGATTTTTTTTCTTTTAAAATACTACCCTTTACAGATATAAGAAGAATAATCTCAGTAAAGGGAATACTTTCTTCTTTCTGTGCTCTTTGTAGTGCCCTGGTAAAACCAAACCAGAAGGAAAAGTAGTATCCATTAACAGAAAAAAAGAGAAAATAACCTACTTTGCAACAAACTCACTGAGAAATCTTACAATGCTCACCCATGCAAAACCTTTACACGAAAAAAACATCCAGTTATATTATCAGTCAACATCACTTCACCTGCATGCATCTTAGGCAAGCAACAAGGTATCCCACTTTGGAAGTCAGCTGTAGCTTCCATACATGTTACACACCCCGCTTTGTTCACAGTTCTCACAGTCATTCTCCTGTGTAAATCTTATTTTATGACTGACCGCACTCCCGGGTGATAACTGCCTATTACATACTTCAAGAGCACCCAAATGTGTACCTGCACCACTGTGGTTAATGTTAACTTCCTGCACTGCAGTGTAATCTGTGGAGATGCGATATCAAGTACTGTTCCAGTGAGCAATGGAACCTAGGTAGAAAGAGTCAATAAGCAAAGCAGCACGTAAAATAAAGCAGAAGGCAGCCTATTTATGAAGGACATGTTAAATAAATACTCGATTTCTCCTGTAAGCAAGGCACGACCCTATGCCATTCTATAGGAATGGAGTTTTGAGAGATTCTGAACAAACCTCAGAGAATTATTATTATTGTTGTTGTTGTTGTTGTTGTTATTGCTGCCCCTTTTATCACAGAAAAATGGAGTGAAGTCCCTGAACATGTGGTCTCTGTGAAGCAGAAGAACAGGATAGTCACTGTGATCTACTCTATATCTTTACCTCTTTCCTCAATTTTTCTTTCCTTTGTTCTAACTGCTTCCGCAATTCCTTTTGTCTGGGAGAAAGACAGTAAGTGGAGCTTCTCACAGGCACATTTGCAGACTGTGCTCTCTGCGGAGTCTTCTGTCTTCCCAGACCTCTTGCAGCATTGACAGCAGAATTTGGGCGACACTTTGGGTTAGATGGAGGCTTAGGGAAATGCACACTCTCTTCTACACCAGCAGAAAAAGAATGTGCTCCTGGTCTTACTGGAGGTACTTCCTTTATTCCAGAGACAGTGCCAAAAGGACCATAGTGTGACGATTTTGGAGACATACGTTGAGTTTCAATATCAGTAAAAGAAACACTTATAGGGGGCAAAAAGCCCTGGCTTTCAATATCACGTAAACTTAAGAGTTCAAACTTCCCATCTTTTTCCACTAGGATTTTACCATCCTTCTTTTCCTCATCCTTGTCAGCATGTGGTGAAAGTGATGTGCTCTCCTGTCCCATTTCATTAGAAATATGCATCAGAGACAGCCTATTAGAAACATCATCTCCTCTTGCAAGGTCCATTTTACAAACTTCAGCATCTTCCAGAGGAGGAACTTCAAGATCCACCAACTTATCCTTAAATTTTAATTTCCGTTCTCTGTTCTGATCCACAGGAGCCTGATTCTCCAGCAGTTTATTGGCTGCTTCAATCTTTTCCAAGATGTAACGCTTTATTTCTTCATCCTCTTCCTCATTCAGTTCCTCCTGGTTTTCCAGCTTGAATTCCTGGACAGAGCTTTCACTATCGGTATCAGATACAGAATCCTCGTGTTTAATACCAGACCTGGATTCCAAACTCTCTTCATTGGAAGGTCTCGCTGTCACATCTACACCTGCCTGTGAAAGTTGATCTGGATTTTCTTCTATTTCCTCATTGTCTTCCTCAAACTTTTCTGTAAGTTTAACAATCTGTGCTTCAGTGTCCTCTTCATTTTTTTCAGGATTCTGAAAAAAATAAAATAAACTTGTCTATTCTTCCAACAAAGAACAGTATCATAGAAAGAGATAAGAAATAGCATCATATAATCATAGAATCATTAAGGTTGGAGGAGACCTCTAAGATCATCAAGTCCAACCATCAACCTAACACGACCATACCCACTAAACCATGTCCTGAAGTGTCACGTCCACCCACTTCTGGAACGACTCAAGGAATGGCGACTCTACCACTTCCCTGGGCAGCCTGTGCCAGTGCTTGACCACTCTTTCAGTAAAGAAATGTTTCCCAATATCCAATCTAACCCTCCCTTGACACAACTTGAGGCCATTTCCTCTTGTCCTATCACTAGCTACAGGGAGGAAGAGACCAACACCCACCTCACTGCAACCTCCTTTCAGGTAGTTATAGAGAGCGATAAGGTCTCCCCTCAGTCTCATGTTCAGTCGCTGTCAACGAACACCCCCAACTCCTTTTCTGCCTGGCAGCTTTCCAGCCACTCCTCCCCAAGCCTGTAGCGCTGCATGGGGTTGTTGTGACCCAAGTGCAGGACCCAGCACCTGGCCTTGTTGAACCTCATACAGTTGGCCTCAGCCCATCGATCCAGCCTATCCAGGTCCCTCTGCAGAGCCTTCCTACCCTCAGGCAGATCAACACTTTCACCCAGCTTGGTGTCATCTGCAAACTTACTGAAGGCGCACTTGATACTCTAAACGGGACTGGCCCCAAAACCGAGCCCTGGGGAACACCACTTGTGACTGGTCACCAACTGGATTTAGTTCTGCTCACCACAATTCTCTGTGCTCAGCCATCCAGCCAGTTTTTAATTCAGCAAAGAGTAAACCTATCCAAGCCATGACCTGCTAGCTTCTCTGTGGGAATGCTGTGGGAGATGGTGTCAAAGGCTTTACTGAAGTCCAGGCAGACAATATCCACAGCCTCATAGCAAGAGAAAAGAGCAGTACTAACTACCCTGATTCTAAACCAGGCTGTCAGATATGCATGTCATAACTAATAGCTTTTTTTAGCACTAACAATTCCCTTGCAGTTTCTCCATGCTCACATCTCCACAGAGTGTAACTAACCATGGCTTGCACAGTAAAGCAATCAGTGACAGCATAGAAACAGAGCAACTTGTGTTGCACAAACACTTACTTAAAAGGAACCCAGAAGTCCCTTTGAAACAAACATATTATTTTCAATGAACACTGAATTTTCTGTTTTAAGACAATTATAACCAAATGTACCAGTTCACTGAATTATTTTTCACTATAATTCCAAATAACCTTCCTTGTCAAAATTCAGTGAATATACCTACACATTACAAACCATATTGAATTTTGTGCTTATGATTCCAAATATTACTCAATTTTGTCTTCTAAATGAGACAAATGGCATTTAGTTTAACAAATACCTCTCTTTCACCAAGGTTTTCTTCTTCTTCTACTTCTTCTTCTGCTTCTTCTTCTTCTTCTTCATTATTTAGCAATTCGAGGTCTTTTTCAAAATCATCCTCGTATTCTCCACTTTCTGTTAAATCACCCATATCCGCTGGTTCTCCTTGGTCTTCCTTTTCACTCATTTTGGTGATGTTTTAGAGCAATACTATAAAAAAGAAAGGGAAAAAAACCTGTTTTAAAACTCTGGTGACACACAAATGTAGAGCACTGATACCTCTTATGGCACCCACATCAAGCTTGTTCAGTATCAACAGAACCACATTAGATAGTGCCACAGCACTTCAGAGCTAAGGATCACTAATGGTTTATAAATGTGAATGGTTTTCACATTTCCACCTCCCACTACAAGGGGAAGATCTGAGTCAAAGCAAACCGAGGTGACTTACTCATTGTCTTGCAGTGAGTTTCTGACTGAGCTAAGACTAGAATTCATGATCCCTAGGACTGAAAGATCCTGGGAATGGCCTGGTAGAAATTAGGGCTTCTCCCTGCAAAAAGGTGACAGGGCCTTTAGCCCAACTGAAGTGCGTCTACACCAATGCACACAGCATGGGCAATAAGCAGGAGGAACTGGAAGCCATTGTGCACCAGGGTAACTACGATGCAGTAGCTATCACAGAAACA